TCTTCACACATAAGTTGTGTGAGATCAATAGGAAATCCGTATGTATCATAAAGTCGCCACGCGACATCACCAGGTATTACTTTTCCATTTAATTTTTCGATAGTTCTATTGAGTAAATTTCTTCCTCGCGTAAGTGTTTTCAAGAACTGTAATTCTTCCTCATTTATCAGTTGAATCAAAGATAAGGGATCTTTTGTTATTTCAGGGAAAACATCTCCCAATAGTTCAACAACAACATGAACTAAAGACCCAAAGAACCCAGGTTTAGCATTAAGTTTTTCAGAGGCGTAACGTACTGCTCTCCTTAAAATTCTTCGAAGCACATAACCCCTACCAGTGTTATCGGGACATCCACCATCTGACAAAGCAATTGTAAGTGTTCTAGCATGATCAGCCAAAACTCTATATGCCATATCAAGGCCATCAACATCTTCAGCTCCAACTTTTCCAGTATAAGGCCTTGCACCCGTGCCAATTTCGATTGCCTTAAATATAGGCATAAAAAAATCAGTGTCATAATTAGCTCTCTTATTTTGAATTACTGACACTAATCTTTCAAGACCTAATCCACAATCAATGTGTTTTTTTGGCAGCAACTTTAGTGAACCATCTGATTCTCTATTAAATTGAATAAACACTAAATTCCAAATTTCGAGTACATCAGGGTCATCCATGTTGACGAGATGAGCTGCATCACGTCCTCCGATTCTATCATAATGCAATTCTGAGCAGGGACCACATGGTCCTGTTTCACCCATTTCCCAAAAGTTATCCTTCATACTTCCAGGAAGAATGTGTGACTCTGGGAGACCTAACTTGAGCCAGATTTCTTTACATTCGAGATCAGGTTCAAGTCCTGAAGCAGCATCTCCTCCAAAATAAGTTACATACAAACGATCCCCAGGCAATTTATAAACTTCAGTGAGAAGTTCCCATGCCCATGAACATATTTCTTTCTTAAAATAGTCACCAAATGACCAGTTACCCATCATTTCAAAAAATGTATGGTGGTAGACATCTTTACCCACATCATCGAGGTCGTTATGTTTACCTCCTGCTCTTATGCATTTCTGGGTATTAACAACTCTTACATACTGAGCCATGTCAGAGTTAGGGTCAACAGACCCCAAAAAAATGGGTTTAAATTGGTTCATCCCAGCATTAGCAAATAGTAAGGTTGGGTCATCTAAAGGTATTGTGGATGAAGAGTGAACATATTTATGTCCTTTATTGATGAAGAAGTCAATAAAGGATTGTCTTATCTGGTTACCACTCATCGAAGTATCCATTTTGAATCTATTGAATGTATCTGAAACAAATAAAATTATACTATTATACAAAAATAATTTTCAGTAAATGTTTTATTAACATTATCAATGGTTTGTTATAAAAATAACATGTCTGGATTAAACATTCATAATATATCTATGATGATTTCAAACTAAGTAATTTGAAATAAGGAAATAAATACTACTTAAACTAAAAGTAATAGAGAAAATTAAATAAAACAAAACTAAAAATGACTATTTACAGAGAGCATCAAATAATTCATCTGCATCAATGTCAATAGGGAAAGTACCCAAAGGGCTGGCGCCATTGCCAAGTTGTATGGTAATGCTTAACCTCTGACAGAGAAAGAGACCAGCCCTCTGGTCACAAGATATGTTGACCAGGTCATGTAACAGTTAATATCTTTAACAATATAAATGTATTATGCAATAAGATAATAATTATGGTGACCAAAATTTTATATTGTTATGTAGGATTCACGTGATTCAATTGTTTTTTTACGTTATATACCTATTTTTAACATTCTTAGATATTATATAATTGGGTAGATGACTTATTATATTTTACCGTCCGGTCATGGTAGATTATTTAAAAACATTAGTTAAATTTTATTTTCTTTTTGGAAGATAATAATTATTGATTTGAAATATCGTGCATGATGTCACTTTTGAGTATGATTTATACTCTAAAATAACGTAGTTACCTCCCACTGCTTAACTTTAATAAATTTTATCTAAGTATTGTTTTCTAATATAAATAAAAAATGAGTCTAATATTTTTTCATTACCATTATTTAACTTGTTGAGTACCGGCATTATAGACACAATTATAGAACAATAGGTTGCGGTCACCGGTGACCGCTTGGTGTTTGACAGTTTAATGGACTAATTAGATTTTAAATTTTCATACCCTGTCATCATCCTTATTATAAAGAATTTGTTTTCACTATAAATCTTTCGATTTGAGGACAAAGGGTTACAATTTTATCTTTTTTTAATGACTTTTTAAGGTTCTTTGAAACAGGCAAGAAAAAATTAGTAAGATAGGTTTGTAAATAGGATAACATATGGTAGTTCTTATCCTTATGCTATAATAAGGATTACCCTAAACATTATTACACTAAACTTAAATGTATAATTAAATATGTAACAAGGTCATATTATTATATGCCTTTATTATAGTATTCTAAAAATATGTGAATAACCACATCAATTAAAAATTATTATGAAAAGCAATCCAAATTAAAGTATTCAAAGCTTTGCTTGTATCTAGTATCTACACACCAAATTACAATTGCATCATGCAAGATTCATGTTGTGTAGTCTAGGTACTTGGGTACATACCACTACACATAGGTATGTACAATTGTATATGTGTATATGATGGAGAAAGGTTACTTAGCAATTCAATTTTAATATTTCTCTTTTCAACACAAAATGAGTTCAATTAATTTTGTTGTTTTCAGAATTAATATTAAATCTATAAAAGAAATTGTATAAGTCACCTACGACACTAAAATAAGTACCACCTACCATATGGTGAATACTGTTTCGAATACAAATAAGTGCACAGCAAATAACAATTTATTAGAAAATTTAATACATAACAATAAATAACCTAATAATCATACTAAATAAAAAGAACAATATGATTCAGTTCTGTAAAATAACTCACCGGTGAATTTTACCTGAAAAGTAAACCAACTTCTTAGCTTCGGTACTTGCCAGAATGCGTTCACCAAAAATGTTCAGTCAGTAACGACAGCAACCAAGTCACCACTTCCACTTGCATGTTCATCTGTCATTCGATTTCGACGTTAGCACAAGAGTTTATATGTATAAAGCGCCCTATAAACGATCAAATTGTTTGTCAAATTTTACGTGTTTGTCAAACAATTTGATAGTGTACAACTTTGTTTGAAGCGTTTGTCAAACATTCTACGTGTTTGAACTGTTTGAAGGGAATTTTGATGTAGGTAGTGTTTGGAAAACGTGTTTGAATGTGTTCCGCTGTGTTTATCAAACAAGATCTCATTCGTTGATCTGACACCATGGAAGACGTAGCGGGTTAAGTTCGAATGACAATAAAGAATTTATGCTACATTTTATATCAATTTACCGAGATATGCCGGTTTTGTGGAAAATAAAATCTAAGGATTAGGTACATGGATAATAAAAACAAGAGAAGTGCTGTAATAAACAAAAATGCATTACATAACATACCACAAAAATTACAAATTTATTGAAGATGGTTTATTTATTTATTGAAGTGTGGGAGAGCCATGCTTCGGGACGAATAGGCCGACTCGACCGGAGTGATACCACGGCCTCACAGAAAACCGACGTGAAGCAACGCTTGCGTTGTGTTTCGTCGTGTGAGTGAGGTTACCGGAGGCCCAATTACCCTCCCCTTTCCCAATCTCCCCAATTCCTGAATCCCCAACGATCCTCAAATTTCTAATCCCCCAAGGCCGGTAACGCACTTGTAACGCCTCTGGTATTCCAGGTGTCCATAGGCGACGCAGATTGCTTACCATCAGGTGACCTGTCTACTCGTTTACCGGCTTATGCCATAAAAAAATTTCTTAATTATTCTGGTTCTGAGAGCAATATTTCTCGTGGCAAATTTTCGTGGGTATATTTATCTCTTAATTTAAGCCATTCTCTACTGCATCTTCTTATTTTCTTTTTCTTAATACAAAGTATTAGAAACAAAAAATGTGTCGTCGTTCTTGCTCATTTTAAGCACGCAGCACAACGACGTCAAGTCACGACGAGGAAAAACTGATTCTGGCTAATTGTTTGACAAACTTGTTTGATGCACGTTTGTTTGTCTGTGCTGTTGTTTGTGAAAACGTAAATTTCATCAAACAAGTTTGTCAAACGAATTTGATCTTTTGTAGGGCGCTTTAGCAGTAGCAGTCGGTCAACACAACAGACAAACATGACACATGACAATGACATTAATGGAAGAAAATGCCGCGGTATCTTACCGTGGTTCCCGAGCTCCGGCTCGAATACCCATAGAAGCCATGAAACTTATTACACTCTTGGGTAGCCAGTATATTATAGTACGTAATCTTTGCTCTTTGGGCTCGAAGCCGGAGTAGTCTGGATTAGGGACGGGGTGGTTTTTATTTTAGTCTGTCGGGCCTGTCCTGACATTTTACGACTAGGTTGCGAAATTCAACACATTAAAATAATAATAATATATAATGAATGTAGCTGCACTGGCGTTTAAAAAATCGCGCGGGAAAGAAATCTGTGAATATTGATGCAAGTGCAACTTCAACGTGAGGCGGTGGGATTTATTTCCGAACAAATATTTTGTACAGTACTTATCAATCAACTATGGCTGTGTCCGCACTGGAGTATTCTTGGACCAACTCGATCTAGTTGTAATAAATGATATCGAATGATTTTTTGGTCATTTTATAATATCCGAAAAACTTAATGCTGCCCCTCTTAATGATGAATGTAGATCTATTCATGGGCTTGAATATCGCAAATGGGTGAATGTTCATCATATCTTTGCATAATCATGTATGTTACCCCGCCTTATTTATAGATAAATTAAAATTTTAGTTTGGTTGTCCATTTTTTATTTACGTATCGTATCCGAGAACTGAACAGAATAGAAGTCAGAACCAATTTGACATTTGACTATTGACAGATGTCAAATGTTGTGTAAATACTCAATTTTCATTTTCCTAGATTGTAAACGATTGGTACGATTTATCTTTAACAAATTATTATAGTAAAAGTAATGATGAATTATTAATAATACTATTTTATAAATATATAGTTGATTTGGAGCAAGAGGATATCATGGCGCTAACTTCGACTTTATTTAAATTGTACAAGAGGTTTAGTTTAAGAAATAAAGAAATAACATCACGCTTTTGTAGTGCTGTACAGCATGCAAACGATGCTAACACTGTTCTGGCGGTGAGAGAAAAAAACAAAATGGAAGTTTTAAATCCTGCTGGTGAAGATTTGTCGACCATAACACCTCACTTTTCTAATACTTTTAATTTAGCAGCATATGTTAACCAATCTGAAACATTGAAAAATTTAGTTGATTTAAATGTTAACATAAGTAAAATTGAAAAGAAACCTTACATAGTTGAAAGATTTTTGAAATTAGATTTTGAAAAGGATATCAAGAACCATATAATATTTCTCAATAACTATATTGATATGGAAGATATAGGCATTTTCTTAACAAAAAATCCAATGATTCTCTGTGAACCATTGCAAGACCTCCAAATACGAGTTAATTATTTGTACGCCAAAAGTTTTGAAGAACGTCAAATTCAGAGGATTATTATGAAAAATCCTTTCTGGTTGTTATTTAGGTAAGCATAACAAGGTAAATTCATATTTCATTATTTTATGGCTTATTTTTGTCCTCTTCCTTCACATCACCAAATGATTTGTTCTTTATAATGTAAAATGATATGACAGCATATATGATGTACATATTTTTATTTTGCAGTACGATAAGGATAGACAAAAGATTAGGATTCTTTCAAGAAAGTCTTAACTTATGTGGTAAGGAAGTAAGAGATTTGGCAACCAAGCAACCTAAGCTAATAACCTACAATATACATAGTGTAAAATGTAATATCTTTGTAATAAAAGAGGAAATGGGCTTTGAAGACACAGAAGTGAAAGAATTAGTTTTACACAAACCAAAACTTTTAATGTTGAGTAAGTATTATGATACATTTTTATTTAGCTTATCTATACAAGTCACCAGAGAATAACAACATCTAATTTTAAAAAATCCTATGAAATGTATGCACCTTACAGATCTTGTTATATTCTATATATCGCTAATTGATCTAAGCGACATTTTTTGGTGATATTGTTAAATACCTACATCACGACGGATAATTCCCTGATTTCAAATATGTATTTAACTCAATTTCGCAAAAAAAAATCGCTTACATAAATATGGCTTTCAAACGTCGATATATATTTATACTTGGTTATGCCTAATGGTATAACTATATTATCTAAAAAATCACAAACTCTATATCGAGGGGTAACGGACTATTTGGTTTAAGCGACATTTTGGTTGATATTGAGTTATATATATATTCGGAATCAGCTAATTTTTCTCCGTCGAATATATATAATAACTCAATATCGCCCAAAATGTCGCTTAAATCAAATAGTTCGTTACCCCTCGATATATATGAAGATTTAAAAAATCACACAGATCTTGGGGGGGTCATTACACTACTTGTTTTCTATATTTACAAGATTCATTGAATATACAATTTAATAGGTAACAATAAATGTCTAGAAAAACTCTATTTTTTATAACATTTCATTATCAGCTGATATACTAGAAATCAATTGTAATTAAGTATAATTGTAGTAAAAATTTTGCTTTTGTTACAGATCAGCGGTCTCTGTTTGAAAGATTCAATTACATCCACAATGTAATGAAAATTTCACATCAAACAATCAAACAAAACCCTGAAATATTAATGTGTAGAAAGTTTAGAATAAGACAAAGACATTTATTTTTAGAAAAATTGGGCCGCTCGCAATATGATCCAAAGAAAGAAAATTATATTCCAATTCAATCTTTAGTTGAAGATTCAGATATTAACTTTTGCAAAAATGTTGCAAAATGTGATATCAATGACTTTAATAGTTTTTTGAAGACTTTATAAGTTAACCAGCCTTTCCTAATACAATTTTATTATGAAATGCATTTAAAGAGTGGTACAAAAAAGCATCAATAATTCCTGCAACTGTGAAAACTCCACCAATTATAGCACATATATTTGTTGCAAAATGACCAATAGACCTGAAAAAAAAGAGATATTGTTTAGTGTATAATATGTGAAGCAAATAAATGTTTATATATTAAGACACTTGCCTTTCTTTTTCCGTGTACTTAACCATAAGTGGTGAAAGTTCATAGCTAAAAAATGCTCCGGGCATTCCTGACTCTGCATTTATGTTTGACACTGATTTCTGATGTCTTGTAACTGAAAACTGATTTGTGTGTAAAACTGTTCTGTCTAGTTTCACATACATAGTTGGAACTATTTTAAGATAGTATTGGAACATAACAGCACCTGAAAAGAAAAGGAAGAAGTTAAATTATTTTTGTATGTTATCAAACAAGGACATTAGCATTCAAATTATGGTGATAAAATAATTATAAGCTGACACCTAACTAATGACACCATATGTGTCATTAGTTACTCCCGCACGGTTACGATTGACGTATTTTGAAAAACCGCATGACTACTACAGGGTCCGTGCAATAGGCTAATGAATATATTATTTAGATCATGAACATAAAATAGTTCTTCACAAGTCGCAGGTTACTAAAATGATGGCAACACTGCCTTTACTGAGAGTCAAATTTATCAAAATATGAAACGCCAAACCCAAGTCACTATAAAATAAACTTTCCGTTACCTACTTTCCATGTACCCTGTGTCAAAAACGTGAAATTAAAAATAGTAATGTCAAAACCCAAAACCAAAGTAATTAAATTGTCTATGTCTAATGTCACTTGTCACTTTTTAACGTACTTCGCGAGGGCTGGGAATATCTTTATTACTGATTCTGGTCTGAACAATTCTGATACTGGAAAATCTTAACCAAGATGCCCGTACCAGGCGGAGTCTACCAGAGTCAAGGACCATCTTGTTTCGATAAAATGAAAATGGGCTTCATGATTGGATTTTGTGTCGGAATGGCGAGCGGCGGCCTCTTCGGTGGTTTTACAGCTTTGAGGTTATATAAACCTGTCATTTGATTTGTTATTATTTTGTTATCATATTATGTTACCTAATTTATCATTTTAGATATGGAGCTAGAGGAAGAGAATTAGTACATTCCGTTGGAAAAGTTATGCTTCAAGGTGGAGGAACTTTCGGCACATTTATGGCCATCGGAACTGGAATACGCTGTTAATCAGTTTGTTCAAACAATTTTTGTACATACAGTAATTTAACTAAGTGCTCAATGCACTTGCCTATCCTTTTATTAGTGTTTTAATATTATAATTCACTCTAACGGATTTGTTATTAAATATTATTATTGATAGCTTTTAATGGTGTTTTTAATTTAATCTTAATATAATATAGTAACAGGCAAAATTATTAAATATAGTGTAGATATCTTAGATTAAGTGACATACATGTTGAATTTTTTTTAACAAAACGGGTTGCAGGAATACTGTTTCAAGTTTTCAAGATAAGCATTGACATACAACCATTTCACTATACTTTTAGAAACAAAACTTACCTTCCTTAGCTATACCATTAACTCCATCTAAGGGTGCAGTGTTGGCACCTTCAATGTCTGTTCCGAAAGATAAATGTCTTATAAAATGAGTTGTATTAAAAACTGATGATGAATAGGGCTGTACATCATGGACATGTACATGATTAATTGTGAAACTTTTTCCTGGAGCTATGTGGAAGCTTCCTCCAACCTGAAATTATATAAATAAATATTTACTGCTGAATGCTATGTTATAATATTTTGATTGTGGTGTGCTCCAATGAACATTAATATTTTGATCTTATTAACTCGTTGAGTACCGTCATTATAGACACAATTATAGAACAATAGGTTGTCGTCACCGGTGACCACTTGGTGTTTGACAGTTTAAACCAACTTATTCTAGGCCCGCAGACCAGGGATTAAATGTTATTGTCCATTATTGTATATTGATATTGTCTGGTAAGTTAACTCTTTCAGTCACACTTTTTACTGGTTACGAATATATTTTATTCAATTATACTGAAATGCTTAAAAATGAATGCAAAGAAATTTTAAGCATACTTCAAAAATTGAATTTCTAAGAAAAGGTGTTTAGTTACAGTGACCACCAAGACTGAAAGATTTAAATGACAAACAGTATTAACATTATTGATAGACTCTATATCTAAAATATATTTTGGTATAAATAGTGAAAATACATACTCTGTTGACTTCCATGTAGCCATAGATTTGACAGCCTTCTTTGAGAGCTAAATTAGTTTTTTCAATAGATTCATCATTTTTACATTGCTCTATTGTAGACAAATCAGGTAAGGCCCATCTTCTTATTCTATATGCTTCTTTCACATCTTCACAGGTATTGCAACACCTATAATATAATTATGTTTTATATTATGTCGCATTTAAACTTCATTAATAAAAAAAAATACCTATACAACAAGTTAGGTAACCAAATTGTTGTTTGTTAACTGTTAGTTAATATTGTGTGTTTATGTGCAACTATAAATTCTATTACCTACTGGCTTCTACCAGCAGCTTTGCCCGCATTCCCGTAAAATAAAAGTAGTTTGTTTTATTGCAAGCCATTACCTTCTCCTCTTCCAAATTGTAATTTGGTCCTTTCAGCTGTTTTGGTTTGATTGAGAAATTGAGAACAAACATACAAACGTTCGGTTTATATAATATTAGTGAGATGCATTATATGCATTTTCCATATAGAAGTGTTTTTTGTATGTAAACAGAGCATTCTGGTTTTCGAACCTGAATTCCTGATTGTTAGATTTGTATGCATCAAGTAAAATCTTCATCACATCTGAAGATTACCTAATTGGAAATTTGTATTGAATGCAGTAACTTACTGAGATTCATTAAGAGCTGCTCCATAACAACTGCCACATGTGATTATTGCCACTTCAGAAATGTTTTGTTTTACCTACAAATGATTTTAGATTTTTGTTACAAAATTAAGTGACATCAGAGGCCTTAGTACGAGTTAAAAATAAACCGCGTTCAGTGCTCTGACTGGCCGACTCCAATAAACCAACCAATAACAGCACCGAATGCGGTCTCGTTTCGATTACTTCATCAATATTTAATCTAAGATAAAACATTAATAAAAAGAGGTTGCACAAATATTATAATACCCTACATAATATTATGTAGTGTAGTTTAGTGGGTAATTCTAATTACATAATATTATTATGTACTAAAACTATACTAATCAGTGATTAGTCGTTTTGAAAGTCGAAAACGACATGCTTTTCATTTTCTATGAATTTTATACGAGAAAGCGTGTCGTGACGTCATAATATTTCGCGTACAAAACATACTTATTTCTTAAAATTTTAAAAAATATGAAAATTACCTTAATCATCTATTAATAAAAAGGTTTAAGTAAATTATATTTTAATCTATTTTGTATTTGCCTTGGGAAGTTACTCAATTATAGTCCACATAAAGTTTATGTTTTTGCATATAAAACTGGTCATGGTGGCCCCGAGGTTTAAGATACCTACTTCTCATGCTTGATGGTGTGGGTTCCAAATTTGGCTAGTACCAACATCATCTTTTTCAAGTTATAGGTATGTACTTTCTAAGATTATTTAGATACTAGTGACATCTAATTATAATTTTGAAATCACCAATTTGTCTTGAGCAAGTCTAGGTTCATACTGGCTTTGGTCAGCAGTGGGGACTAACAGGCTGATGATGAAGATGATATAAGGAAGTAAAACCAATATACAATTCACATCATGTTGGTTAGTTGTTACCAAGCAATATGATTAACTCGTCGAGTACCGGTTTTGTAGACACAATTATAGAACAATAGGTTGCGGTCACCGCTTGGTGTTTGACAGTTTAATGGGTCAATTTACCTGTTACAATATTTTATTTTTTTGGTTCAATAATAAATGCTGACTTTTGATCTTTTAGAAACTTCTAATACCATACAGATCACACCAATAAAATATTCAATTTTGAACTGCCACCATGGCCCTCCTGAGTTGCCTTTAAATAATTTTTACATCTATGTAGGAGATTCATTATAATCCAATACTACCTACTCAGTGAAAACTACTCAGCTGAGCTTTGAGGCTATAGACAATAATGAAAGTTAACATTAACTCATTGAGTACCGTTATAGACACAATTAAAGAACAATAGGTTGCAGTCACTGGTCACCAGTGTTTGACAGTTTAATATAAGTTCCAAATATCTTCCTAATTAAAATTCATTAAAATTCAGTACCCTTGCAGACCGCAGTTAGTAATAATTGACGTAAGTTAAGTTTAGTAATCTTACTGTAGTAGACGTTGCAACTTCTTGCTTTTTTGGTTCTTCTATTGGATTTCCATTGAGATCCAATCTTCTCTTATGAATGTTCTGTTCCATTTGTAGATGCTGTTCTCCTGATGAATCCATAGCATCAAGTACTAAATCTATAATAGAGGTAGAAAAATAAATTAATTATAAAAAACTTTTTAGGCATTGGCAACTCGAGCAACTGATATGGGCACAAGCGGAGAATTTGCCTTCAATAATTTTCTATTGGCAGTTAAAGACTTAAAAAAAGTATAGCACTAAATATCTTGATTGTTATTCAGTAGACTGTCATGGGCTGTTAATGTTATGGCTAAATTTTAGATAACAAATTCTTTGTTCTCTTCAATTTTGAATAATATTAAATAATGAGAAGAAAATAATAAGACACTTTGATTGAAGTAATGAAAGTAACATTCATCATATCCTATTTAATTTTTTAACTACTTCTAGTGAACTATCTAAATTTATACTTACAATTACACGAGATTGTTGGTACGATGATATCTAAATTTATTCGCAGTTTATGGCCTCTTGATGTATCTACGAACAATTCTTCAGAAATATTTGGTGACATGTAAGTGTACAGTTCAGATAGAAACAACAATACCATCATCAGTCCACCGGCAACAGTTACTGCAAAATAAATGTTAATTGTGTTTATACAAAAATCAACATAATTTTTAAGTTTTGGTTTATTGAATTATAGGTATTTCTAACTCACTTGCTGCGCCGGTTGCAGTTTTTATTCGGAAGTCCTCTAAAGTCTTAGCATATGCATCTAATTGCTTAAATTTATCAATTAA